CTAGGTGGGTCCATCAACCTGAAAAAGCGTCGGACATTTGCTCTTCATCTCAACTTCCTAAACAACACCCTCTTGCTAGAAGGCGGTGAGTACGACTTCCCTCGCAGTAGCCACGAGTGGGTGAGCGGATTCTCCTCGACCGTGTCACGGCATTTGGAAACCACTTACGGGTCAGGTACAGGCGAGACACCGAATCCCTTACAAAGGTAATTTCATAGATGCATTGATATATATATGGATAGAATACCTGGACAATGTGATTTTCACGCAGCATGTCTAGAAATGAAATTTACTGGCATACATGTTGCTCATTCTTTGTTGGTACGATTAGAATAGTCGCATTCAGAGTCAGCCGTTAGGAAACCAAGTGTTCAAAATATAATCGAATATAGAAGTGAACCGTCATTATACTAAACCGATGATATTTTTTGGGGAGCTCCTTATAACCCTGCCGCCACAGTACACCCATGCACTAAATGGGACTCATACGAACATCCATTTATTGTTCCCACAATCCAACCATGCAATTTTGTTGCCTCCGTAACTCTACCAATGACATAGCGTCTACCAACTTTATTTCACGCGGCGGCCTAAAAAGTATTTCCCTAAATTCCTTAAAAGGCTTGTTCTCTCCAAAACTTGCTACCACTATAAATAGACAGTACTTAACAACACTGTGGTCCAAACTAGGAATCGTTAGATAATTGCAGATGCCTAGTGATTAGTATCTATTTTAGCTTGCCCATAAGATCTCCCGTTACAACAACTAACAAACAGAGGCAAGCACTGATATCAATCGCCATATCCCGTGACTTCTGGAATATGGATATTTTCGAGAACAAATATGAAGTTTAATTTAGTGGTATAACGAATTTTTGGTTTAACATGAAACTGGCAGAAATGTTCACGGATGAACCGTTTGTTTAAGCAAGAGACAGTTGTTGCAACCAACTAAATGAATGTCTCAACGGATGGTACGCAAGCTCGAAAACAATAAAAAGATCGGTCCCTGAATCATCGAGAACACTAGTTGTATCTCTAAAGAGTTTCTATTTCAGTAGGACAAGACGCAACTGGTTACGCGAATGGTAATTACGGAGACTTTTTATACTATTTTAAAATATCACTGGGTTTTATCTTTCTCCAAAGCTTTTTTCTTCTTTGACCTCATTCGCCAAATTGCGTAGCCGGCGATCAACACTGCGTAATTGGCCATTACAATCTGCAAATAAATAAAACATGCAATAAACTAGTTTTCACAATACATGAACTGGGTTTATCCCATTATCATTAATTCTCTGGGCTTTAAAGTGGGTACGATACACCCGACTTTGCGGATGAGCTATTCCTATAACATTATTGATGAATACGAATGTGGTCTTGATCAACTGAAAAGTATTTTCATCGCACTTTTGTAAAAAAAATCAACTGAAACTTTAAATTTGTGATAACAATAGAAAAACCGCACTAAGGTGGTACTCCACGTTTATATGACACTTTTCACAGGCTTGTTCATTAAGGTACACTCAGATCAACTGTCGGTTGGGAAACAACTGTACGTTCAACACAAGCAAACAAGAAAATAAAGAGGAAAATGAAAGGGATATTTCGTAAGAAAATATGGATACAGAGGAGATGCGTCAGACAGTCTCGTTTGTCAACTGATGTCGTGATATAATGCATTCCTACTTTACGTCATGTCGCTGGAATGTATATATTCCGCTTAATTGTTAAAAATTATTTTCCTAATTAATTACACAGCATTTAGCATTCTTACTATCGAATTAGTACGCAACTTACATTAAAACGGCCCTTCACGGTGTAGGAATTAAAATAATATCTCCAACCAGTGAACGCTGAATCTGGTATTTCACCTTCTGACATGTTGAAACGACCATTAAACAGAAAACTTTAAAACCGACGCTCATGGATTATATGTCCAATAATGCTTATTTTTGTTTTCTGATGATGTACACTAACTAGTTACCCCGGTTTTATGTTAGTAGATTTTAACAGATTATCACTGATTGGAAAAGATTTGTTTGCGTCACAATAATGCCGTGTTTAACGCAAACATTGCGTTTTGTTCCTGTTTTTGCATGTCACTAAATTCTGTAGGTAAAAGCCTCTATTAAAGGTACAGGTCTCTAAAATAGACCGCTCATAATGCATCGAATAATAAGCGTCAAGTTTTCGAGATTCCCACTTTTAGCTGAGCGCATCGCGAGCGCTAAAACGGCATACAAACTGTTGCTTAGTCGCATGCAGATAATGGGAAACGGATCAGGTATTCTTACTCAAGATAGTTTCACTTACAAAGAAAAGCTCTACATTTCAAGCACTTTGAACGACTTTGCTTGTACGCTATGAGTTCGGCACCAGATCAACTAGGTACAGTCAACCATGCCTCTCATCTTAACAGATACCAAGAAAATGGTTTCACAGGTCTGTAAAACTGAGGATAAATAACTAAAAAGTTGCTTGTTCTACGTTTCAGGCATGAATTTTGGAGTGAACTATGGGACTAGTAAAATGTCGCTGCGGTCTAGCGGTTAGGACATTGCGTTGATGATCCATATTGGTGAACAAGACGTCGAGTATCGCACTAGTTCATTATAATCTTTATGATCGCATTCTTTTTCATTTTCATCGTCTTCTATATTAATCAATCACTGTGAACATTCGTTGCTTCATATCAATGTTGATTTCTATTTAAACCCAAATAATTAGTTGAATTCATAGAACTTACTAATCAACTACGATTACAATCGACTTTCGTGGTTCTTTAAATAACATTAGCAGCCTGTAAATGCTCCTGTGTAATATATCTGTTTGAATGTCAACCACTTGTAAGTATAGACACAAGCCGACACGACCGCACATCTATTTGTTAATTATCCATTTGTATAAGCGAGACAAACTATTGATCATAAATTAATTATTCTGCTTGATCACTATCAACTATCTTCCGTCAGAAACTATCCACTAGAATGTTTTACTTGACCACTGCCTCCCTAGTTTCCAATCACTGAGTTCCATGATCAAACAGAGGATATGAATGCAAGAAATTTTCGGCAGGTTTGGCTATTAGCTTTCTGCAATCTTAGATCCCGTTTAAAATGTTTGTCAGGCAATGCTGCGTATTTAGCTTAAATAACTTCAGTCTACAACGATGTGTTAATCCAAGGGTATGATCAACAGTACCTCGTGCATGATCCAGATTCGAAATACTGTCTACTTTATATTCTCATTACTTGGCAATATCAATATGTATGAGTCATATATATATAGTGAACATAAAACGAGCCTGAGAAGTTAATTTACGTGTAACACAAGTTATTGTTTTAATTACAATCTTCGTAATCTTAAGAATAATATTTATTTAAAAGGAAAAAAAGGAAGAAAAGAAATGAAATCTGGTGAAAGGGTCAAAGCGTGACAATAATAATAATTGTGTGGTGAATATCGACCTTTGAAGGAAACCAACAGTTTAAAGAAATGAAAAAATAAAATAAGAATACACTCTTTGCTGCATTCGGGTAAATACATGTAGATTTATGTAATTGTATACAGAGTGAAACCGGATATTAGTATAGATAGTTGTGCAATAATAATTTAGAATGGTGCTATGATAATCACAATTAATTGCAAAGAATAATCAAATACAAATTTCTATGTTATATATATATATATATATATATATATATATATATGGTGAAGATTTAATGAATCTGAGAAGTTAATTTGTTTAAGTGTAGCATAGGATAATTTTTCCTCATTTTCGTTATAGACTTTGAATGTTTAGGAATAATATATGTTTAGAAGTCCAAGGAGCAATGAGAAAAATATCTTATGTGTCGAGGGACCAGTAATAAGTGTGAATACGAACATAAGCAGATTTCATATGTTAAGATGAATAAAAATAAAATAAAATAGACATTGAAAGTTTCAAATGTTACTCTTTGCTCTACAGTCAATTAGATAGATGATGGACCTTGTTCGTATAAATCATTATCAAACAAATTGATATTCAATAGGTGACACAATCCACTTTCGGAAAGAAAATCATCAAGGGGACTTCTGAACCAGGTTGTATGAGGAGAAAATTCTGGCTTAAGTTTGTGTAAGATCTTGGATACCATAGAATATGAGGGAGTGGATATCGAGGAAGTATTTTTACCTGACTTCTGAGGGTATTAAGGTTATTAAAACCTTGATGATAAACTAATCTGGCCACGTGAAATCAAATATCCAGGTTTAATTCTACACCTGTTTTAATAGTGAACGCTATAGGCAACACAATTAGTGATTCAATCAGCGTTTCGTAACCAGTTATGTTTTCAAAGGACGGTTTAAAAGGCAATGCACCGTTGGCTGACATAGACTGTGGAGCACTAACGAAATCTGAAAACAGCACACGTGATGTATACTGTACATGAGAAATTCTTCACTCTAACTCTATTCCATAGTCACCCTTTATATAAGACATATCAAATGTAAGTTAAATTGTGCTGCAAATGCAATATCTAGGGTAGAAATAAAAATTATTCGACCATCTACTACAAATTTCTAAGAATTTGAAAACAGAAGGAAGGAAGATCAGGCATCTGAATGCTCAGATTCATTAAAATTTCTATCTCTGACCTAAATAGTTACTATTAGTCGTAAATGGTGGCTTCAACTATCTTGACATCGTAGGACATTTTGTGATTCCGAATCTATGTCATTCCGACTGCGTCACCTGTATTTTGACGTTATTTCCTGGCTGACTGATGATTTACTAAACTATTTGATAAACTATGTAACAGCGATTAAAAGCCAGAACTGTGAACAGAATTGAGTTATTTCAACTACATGTAGAGCATAATATGTAGTTAATTGATCAATAAAAGCACCAGAAGATGCTTACTTTACACATGAACAAAGACACCGGGTAATCGTAAAGTGGAGGGACTTTGAAACACATTGACATAAGGACATACGAAAAAGACGCCATAGTTATGGTTTCTGATTCTTCTGGTGTGGTAGGTCTACTCGCTTGATGGATCATACGGCAATTTTAGTGCGAGCTTGACGTTGAATACAGCTGTTCATATGAGTGGTTCGCCATTACGAATTTCTGAGCATAGTTATGAAGAAATCAGTGGTGACTCACTATATTATCTTAGTCCTATCAAATAAATAAAGACACTTTTATGCCTACTGAGTGGACATAGAAAATGAAAATCACGTATTTTCACAGGCTGTGTACCGCTAGTAGATGCGATCCCCATCAAGTTCCTTAAGATTTTGCTACCAGCTGAGAGTTATTCGGAGGGTTTGGAAAAACGCATGTTTGCAAAGAGCGCGTTGGAAGTTCCGGAGTTATACGACACTAAATTTCAAATCACATTCTCATTTCATTTGCCAAATTTTGTGTTCTTTTATAAATCTTTTCTAACTTCTTTTCAATTTAATACGAGTTTTAACGTAAAGAAAGGCACAACATGCAACGCGGTTCATCGAAGATCCTAAAATCTGTCTGCAATCAGTAACTGAAGAATGTCAATGAATGGTCAACTTTAAACATGACACAAATCTAGTAGAAAGAAACAATGAACGCGTGGAAATTAAAGCTTTGCGGAAATCTAACGGAAATAATGTTTCTTACTCCCAGCGAATCTCAAACCAAATAAAACTCAAAACGTCTTGTTGGCGACTCGGTTAGCGTTACTCTGCTAATTGTGCTATTTTTAAAAGAGTTTATTTGCTTTGAGGCAAATGTGGTCATGCTCAAGTATGTTGTAAAAGTAGGCCATAGATTGCCGAACATCAGCATAAGTTCCGTAAAGTTGCAAGTTGATACAAGGTCTGACATAACATTAATTTCCAGAGAGACTTGGATAAAACATGATCGACAGCAATATCAACCTACATATTATAACCCTAAGAGTCAGACAGGAACTAATATTACTCTTCCTGGAGAAATGCAGCTATCTCTCACATTGTGTGACAAGACTATAATCGGAAAACGTTATATTCCTGGGAACTGTTATGCCAACTTATTAGGAATTGTTTGGATAGACAAATTTGGTTTGTGGAATCTGCTGTTGATTACACTGAAAGTGGAATCCCAGTCATGGCCAGAAACGAACAAGCCTTGGGCCAGAGTACACACAGATTATGCTGGACCAATAAACGGTTAATATGTTTTGGTAAAAGTAGCTTCATACTCTAAGTGATCTGAAATCTATGCCGTATGAAGACCGTCTACATCTGAGACACTGTTACATCTCAGGCAACTATCTGGTAGGTTTGGAACTCCTAATGACTAATCAAAGCTTGCGGAGTTCTTCAAACAAGATGTAATTAAACGTATTAGAGCCCAACTGCACACCCTCAGTCGAATCAGCAAGCAGAAAAGTTTGTTGATATTCTTAAGCGAGCTCTCTTAAAAATGGGAGAAGATAATGTAGTAGAGGTTCCGCATTAGTTTCCGATTCCTTATCCAATTACACCTTGTCCAAACTGTCAAGACAGAAAATCATCATCTAAAATAATATTCGACAAACAAGGACGTTATTTTGAAACCGAGAGACAGAATGAACAGACTACAAAAAAATGAGTAAGGGAATTGCTCGAAAACGTGGGAGTTCAAGGCAGGTGACTTAGTCTGTGCACGTGATTTCCAGCCTAGCAAGCCAAAATGGATATTTAAGAGTGTAGAAAAAGATGTGGGACGGTATTATATTAAGTGATTGTTGAAAATAGACTAGTTATGAGACATACAAATCAACTGAGAGATAGCAAAAATGTTTATGAGTCATCTGAACCCAAACTTTTACCAATGAAAATATTATGTGATATATATGATATTTAACCAGCAAAACAACAGGTTGAGATGAAAAAAATGAGCTGAAATCAAAGGCTAGCTGAAGGTCAACAAGTGAAAGGAGTGTTGCCGAATCAAATAAACTTTCATTAAACATCCAGCTTCAAGCGCTTGCTTGGAATCCTGAAAGGAAACGGGAAAGAGGAAGGGTAAAGAACACTGCACCGGGAATTGGAAGCAGACATGAAAAGAATGAGGATCAACTTTAAAGAATTTGGTAGGAGTATCCAGCACAGATTTGGTTGGACAATGTTCGTAGGCTACCTATGTTTCTCCGTGAGGGGTAACAGGCTTAGGTAAGTATCATCTGCTTGCTGTTATTGGATGAATAATATTTAAACCATTCCCATCAATATGACGTATTCAATCATTATCTGACGATAAATACAAAATTTTAAGTGTGAATAGCAGTTATGAAAACATGTGTCAAGTAACCTTAGTTGGATATGTAGGATTAAGGTCTGCTACGGTATCAGTACCACTCTAATAATAAACCTAATCCCATAATTGTAGATTTGTCACGTTGTGACTGATTTATCTAAAATATTACGTGGAAGTCACATCATTCTTTACACTGACTCGTTGTGTCGTAAAAATTACCAATATATGATAGAGAACACATTCAGGTTGGAGATTAAAGGCACTTAATGCACGACGTCGAATTAGTATTATATCACAAGTCAACAAACGTTTAACTGAAAATTCGATTCTAACTAAAGAATTACAATCGAAACCATCAACAGTTACATCTATTTCAAACAATTTACCTCCATCATACAATACTTCAGCAAATCTTGGTACGACTAAATCTTCAGTTCAATCACTTCAGACTTTGACAACAGTCAAAGGTGATGAAGCATCTGTTAATAATATACATTCTAAATCAATATTTCTTTCAACACCATCAAATTCTAATAATTTATGGTCATCCATTAAAGTATCGAATAATGAACCGATGGTAACAACATCTTTTTTTTCAATGATCATTTACCTCAAGTTCATAGCATATCGAGCTTATTATCATCTTCACCAAATTTATCATCATTACAATCTAATAATGTAATGTCTTTTATTTCATTATCTAAAAGTTCTTCTAATACAGATGTCAATATGGATGATCTATTGTTAGTCTCAACAGAGACAAATCAAAGCTTCTATTTCATCCAGAACTATTTAAACTATTCGAATTGAATTGTGATGCGCGCTTTACTAACGAGGAGTCTATGGTTATTTGCATTTCCCAAAGTTTTGCTGTCCTTACGCAACAGAAGTATAAAGTTCGATCCCAAGAATCTGTTCTGAGCTCAATGTTCGGTTTCTGTCCGGCGGCATCAGTGATCCTTCGCTACTATATATGGAGGCCCGTTAAGCAAAAGCTTATCTTACCTACAGTAACAATAATCCTCCGGGTGGTGATAAGCTGAAAGTCAAACCAGAAAGGAAGCGGCAGCATCTGATGGAGAATAAGTCAAGTGATTTCAAAATGTTTGGTTTAATTATTAGCACGCGAAATATGGAAATCTAGTATTTGAACAATGTGGGATTGTAACAATTTAGAATGATTCCGTGTAGAGGTATTTTAATAAATCACCGTAAGATGCGTAATAATAGACGTTGGTTAGTAACTCAACTTATAGGCAGTACAAGTACTTAGTGTTTAGAAATAGAAAAACAATCAATTTTGTGTCGATGTTATATCGGCATTACCTTTGGTTTATGTTACAAAGTCAATTAACTTTTATATCGGTAAGCTGTCCGTGTGAGTAGGTTTCCAATTTTATCTGCACTAGAAGGCTTACTGAAGGAATAATAGTGTAACCGTGGGAAAGAATAATTCTAACCAGTACTTCAGCTAGTCTGTTAAGTTTGATACGGCTTATTTAGTTACGGGGAGATTTTCTCGACCTCATTATTACTTAACCATGATGGAATTTAGTAATACTGCTAAAACATATGAATGATTTCCAAAAATCCTTTTACGTGAAACTAGTGATAATTGTGTGCATTTTGGACAGATATGAGTGTATTCGTGAAAGACACTCTAGACTCAGTGTTATTAATGTTCATATCTACCGAATGACGATACATACAATTAAGCTGCAAGTTTCGAGCCTCACATTAGTTATTTACAAATATAGTGATTGAGAATTGTTGAAATCGACCAAGCCTATGTGCAATAAACACCCGTGCAGTGGTGTTGCGCGATATTTATGGCTAGATAAATTTTTACGAGATGATAAATAGTATGTGATGCTCATGTGATTATCAGGGAGAACATAAGTTGTAACCAATTAGAGAACACTCCCAACTCATGTCTAGGGTAATGGCTTGAAACCTATTATTATTATTATTAACGGCTTTATTCAATATTATATTTTGGTACAATATTCTATTCTCAGCACAGGGTATTTCAGCAAGTTACTTACACAAAAAAACTGTACAACTTTTAAAATTAAAGACATGTTAAGAATGCAGGTTATTGACTAGGTTAACTCTAACAACCTGTTCGTCACAGAGTATAATTGCTAGGTAAGGTAGTATAGAACTTTTATACTTTTGCTAGCGTGCATGGATCTTAACGTAATTTTGTCTCGTTCTACCAGAAGATATACAAGGAGAAAGATAAGAGTGAAGGGGATCGCTATTATCTGATAAAATAACACCTGCCAGTAGTTTGCATGATTTTAAATGTCTATCCACAACCATATAAATTACGACCTCGAAAGATTCACCACATATCTTGCTAACTGCCTTCAGCACTCTCTGCAATACAGCAAAGTCTTTTCTCAAGAGCCCTGGAAAGAATAATGGAGAACAGTGAAGAATAATAGGTAATATGCAAGAATTGACAAATTGTAAGAGTAAATGACGAGTATTCCCAAGAGCATGCAATCTCTAAATGTAGTAAATCAGACGGAAAACCTTCTTCGATAACAATCAAACATGAGAAGATCAAGAGAGATCAGAGGAAAATGTAACACCAAGATAGTTGACCTTCGACACTGTGTTTATCAAGGAGTCTCCAATGACACAAGCATTATGGGATCTCAAAATGGTGTTTAGATTCCGTTCATGCCTCATGCTAAAGTTAACAGCTTGACATTTAGACGGATTAAATATGAGGCCATTACCAACAGACCATCAATCAATAAGAGACAAAACTCATTAATTTCTATGGGGTGTAAAGAGGTAGAGATAGGCATACCTACAGTGAGAACATCCGCATATTTCACGAAAGTATTTACTGTGGAAGATGGCAGATCATGCAGAAAAAAAGAGAAAAGAAGAGGTGAAAGAACAGGTTCTTGTGGTACACCTTCATGAGACAGTAGAGATTATGAGCACTTTCCTCTGAATACAATGTACTGTTCCCTTCCAGAGAAGTATGAACATAGCCAGTTGGTTATCCGGCTGTCAGTGTTGACGCTGATTAACTTGCTAATTAAGCTACAGGGATTATCTTCATCTTTCTCCACATTTTCGGTATGAGATTAGATTAGAAGGATCTGTTAAAGATAGTCGTGAATGGGTAAAAAAGGACGTCAGCACATTTTTTGGGTTTGGGATACCATCAGATCCTAAACATCGGGATGAATAAAGTGACTGGAGACATCTTCGGACATCACTTTCAGTGAAGCTAGGAAAACAGCTATCCTTTAAACCTGTGGATTAAGGGAGCATTACATCAGATGACTGCCGTACAGAAGACTTATTTAAGTCACAATTATTCAGCTGGTTATCGCTCCTAAACTGTCTGTCACATACTTGGAGAGTTTTTGCGAGACAAGAATTTTTGAGTAAACATAGAGTTGAGACATCTAATTTCTAGGTTTATCAGAAAATTTAGCTTACGAACTTCATTAAAAATTTCTCCTTGTACATTTTTTCTTTCACCCTCCGTAGTCGTTTTAGTTGTAAAAATGGTTTCAGTCGGACAACAACTATCAAAACAGAGTTTAAGGTAACAAGTGACAACATCGGTAGTGATTTCCAGTGAGTCATCTGTAAATAATTTACAGTTAGTCGTATGAAACATGTTTTTCAGATTTCGGATATTTTCTTTTGAGTAATTCATATATTTCACTTTCTTGGTTTGATGTAAGAGTGTACTCTTCCCATGCTTCCCATGTACTTTAGGTAGAACACGAATTATACAGTGATCCGAGATAGACAATGGAGCACGTTTACGAGTCGCATATATACCTACATCACTAGTGGAAACGAAGTCTAAATTAGCACTCAGACGGGTAGGAAAATCCACTACATTTTGGTGACCTAGTGACATAAGGAAGCTATAGTCACATGAATTGAAATCGCCACATACAACTGAAAGTGAATCACTGAAGGCAGTAACAGCGAACTTAGTGAATTCGTCCGCAAAAACAGATGATGTGAAGTCTGGAGTCACGTAGATATTGGTAACATAAACATATTTGTATTCATTCAGATGTTTTGGACAACATCTTAGAGTTAGACAGTCAATAAAGTCATTTGAAAACTTAAAACACACACATCAGTTTATGTTTACAAACGTAGCTACACCGCCGCCACACCTCTCTTTATTGTTTGATCGATCCTGACGTTAAATTTTGAAACCACGTAGTGATACTAGGCAGTCGTCCTGTATATCATTTAACCAAGATTCTTGAATTGTGATGACACCACAATTACGATACATATTTTGACTTAGTAGGAATTGCAGATAGTCCACTTTGTTGATTAGTGATCGCCAGTTAGAATTTAGCAGCTCGGGAATCGACATACGATTAATGTTACTTCTCTTTAACGCATATTGCCAACCACCACAATGTCTTTTATAGTACTCATTTGTAACTTGTGCAGCGAAAGTTTGTAGGCTTGAATATGTTATGCGATTAATGGACATAATGGCACATTAAAACAAATGAAAAAACAGATAACTTGTTGAAATAATTAGATGGCAAAAACAGGTATCCCAGATATTCAAGCAGGCCGCCGTTCTGTGTTGAGATAAATTCGACAGTGTTTTCAGACTGCAGGAGATTTTCTCGACGGATTATACTAATGAGTTACATGCACGATATTGTCACTAAACCTTTAATTAGACTGAAAAGGTTTTAAGATATTTACTGAATTAGCAAGCAATAGAGAAACATGCTGTAGTCATCTGTGATGGATGAAGACAACGAGAAAACAAAACTATTTATTGACAATTACAAGTCAAATTGTTGACCGATTTTGTTAATAGTTTCATCAACTTTATCAATCATCATACGTGATTGTCAAGTCATGACAATGATTTATGACGATATGTTGAAACCAATATGTTTAACTATTTATAGTGTTGATTGAGGATTATCCAGTGGGAAATAGGTATTGCCGTTTTCGGTGCTTCTGAAATAACAGAAGCTTGTCGTGTTAATGAATCTGAACTGCCTGATTATACTATAAATTGCACTTCAAGAATATTCTTCTATATAGTGTTAATTTTAATGGTAGGCCCTGGACTTTTAATTTTAAATGCTATATTGGACAACGATTACCTGACAGTTTAGTTATTATAGTCGTGCATTATGATAGCACCCAAATTCGGTGACTTTATTATCTGAACTATGTTCGTCTTTGTAGGCAACTAATATAACAGAACAATTCATAAACCCAAATACGTATAGCAATATGAATTATGATGGGTTTATTGAAAATGTTATGGGTGATTCAAATAACCATTAAATTCAAATGACGCAGAGAAGATACAATGCAACACGCAACTAAATAAGTAAGAAGAATTTTAGTAATACTGGCCCTCGCAGGAACAGCAAAGGAAATGTTTGGTCTCTAAGAATATAAGTTAGCAATTTAAAAATTTCGTAGTTCGTCACTTCCTAAAAGAACTAGAAGGTAGATATGAGTAACTTTTTGGTGAATCTTCTTTTCAGCATATTTATTTAAAAAATTCTGACTACGCCTTCTTGATAATCAAATTTGTATATTGTGAGCCCTGGATTGTCAGTTTTGAGCTGGCTTTGTTTCGTTACTGCGGTAAACGTTAGCACAGTGCTCAGTGATTGTTTCAGTTATGCATTC